ATGAATTAACAATTTTGCAACAATTAATGCTATAAATAATTCCGAAATGTGCGCTGATGTGGCAAAGGAGGGTCCCAGAATTGTCCAAGTTGAACATTGCAATATAGCAATTTGCTAATCGATTGATAAATATTTAATTTTCGCTAAAATGTTAAGTATTCACAGATATATTGACACCAATACCTGACTGAAAACGCCCAGTCAGAAATATTTCGTCACGGCGTATGTAAAATCTATCGATAGCTAAAAGAGAGTTTCACCTTTCACCCAAACAAAAGAGGCTCCATCTCCAGTAGTTTCTTTATCGCCCCCTTAAGAATTCGAGTTACAGTTTGATACTGTAGGTTGGTGATTGACAGTTGTATCGTCAGGACGTCACTCCTACTGTAACGTTTTTTGTGATCTTACTTAGTTTTATTTTGTGCTCATTTTGTTTCATTTATTTCTATTCGTTTTAATATATATATACTTGACCATGTCTGAATCACAACGGACAAAGAGGTCGCCTCAGAAAACGTCCTTCAATAACCATTAAATTATATTCTCCGCGCAACAGCTTGTTAATATATTTGCATGACAATTTGTTATAAGCGAATTCGAATATCGAAATCGAATTCAAATATCGAAACGGATGATTCTGAAGCGAGTCACTGAACACTTTATCTAGAAAGAGTATAGTAAAGTTACACTGTCAGAATTCGTGCTTCTGTGATAGCGTGAGTGTTTTCAAAACGTTCGGGAGTGTTTTCAATACGAAAAAGAGACAACGCTGGCCCATTGACTCCTGGTCCATTTCGAAAGTTCTTCAAACAATTGCTGTACTGGAAATCAGCAAGAATCCGGTCGTCAGAATTGGCAAGCAGAAATTCGAAGCAAACGAGGTACGACTATCTTATTAAGGGAACAAGTAAAAGATCATGGGGTACGAAAGAGTCATTTACTTTAACTGAAGCGGAAAGGCTTCTGAAAAAAGCAGTAACCAATAGAGGAACGTCAGAATGGAGAAACATAAATGGTTGAACATACCAAGAAAAGGAGTAGAGATTCTTGGGAGAAGGAAAAGTACAGATTCTTGGCTCGCTCAAATGTTGCTTGTCTTTCACCAAAGAAGTTCGGGTTCGATTCCCGGACAATCTCATGTGAAATTTGTTCCAACAAAACGAAATTGGCTGTTTAACCCTACCCAATCCTAATACTGGCCACTGGGTAGTGACGCAAGAGCGCGCAAGAGAGGCGCGATGCTACCACGCAGTCTTCACGACTAATAGACTAAGACTTACGTACTATATTATAGAATAGAGGATGACTCCTAATGATAATGACTACAAAACGTCACGGAGGGTTACTCCAAATTAGAACAATAAGTGCGCAACGCCCAGTGAGGGTTACGGGACGCGTTGCGGCATTGCGAAGACGCAACATTTTTTTTTTTTAAAAACGTGATAGGAAACGACGCTGAAGCACACTTTATGAATCTAGAGAGTTCACGTTGCTCGAGTGATAGTCCTACTAGGCATAGCATTTGGCAGTGGAAGTGTCAGTGACCCAGCCATGAGCGGTGTACTTCCTTTCACCTTATATATGAGCGTAAAAAAGTGTTATAATGTAGTGTATGCCCTAACGTTTATTGAAGTTACTAAATAACGCAAATGAAATCGCTCCAGAAAAAGCTGCTGCTTCATTCAATGTGAGTATACCATTTGATTCGTGTTTCAGGAATACGTGCTCAGTAGTACGCAGCCTGGCATCGGCGCTCCCCTCCACGGGTAATTGTCAATCATCTACTCCATTTATTCGGATTCTAATCATATCGTTATTAACGTTCTAAGTGCTAGCGATTGGTCATCGCACCCCTCTCACCGAATTGAGGTTATCCAAGATAGCTTTCACGGTTCAGAACATTTTTTTTCTTGAGGCAAGGGTACATCGGCACATAGTGTATCGTTTTCTCAGTAACGAATACGTAACATTAAAGTTGTGAATATGGTAAAAACGTTATTTATTCTGTTCTTTGTTTTTGCATTGACGCTCGCATTCATTCTTAATCTTATAATTATAAAAACGCATTCACGCACATCACGTCACACCATGTACAAAATACATCTTCTTGTTCACCACGGCCCCATCTTTACTCCAGCGCAGCGATGTCGCCGCGTCCACGCAACCCCGTTTGCGGTGATGCATGTTAGCACATCCTATTCCGGCTTCAGGGAACAGCGATCGCCTTGGTTTACACGTCACAGAACTCTGTGAACGTATGAGGGGTCATTGCGCAACTCAATTTTAATATATAGCTTCTTCTCAAGCCCCGTCTTCACTATGGAATATAAGGGGGCATTGCGCGTCTTTCTCGGCCGCATGATCGCAACTGTATTAAGCAGTGCTTGCGATAATGCGACATCTACAGGCACGATCGAGAAAGACGCGAAATGCCGTGACATATTCCATCGTGAAGACGGGGCTTGAGAGGCAGCAATTTAAAAACCGCACTATAGTAATGGTCGTCACGCGTCAAGATGGCGCAACCCCGTGCCGTCGTTTACGTTCTCGGGATGTTTGGCAATTTCAATGGCTTCCTTAATTCGTATGGACTATCGTCATCTATCGAGTACTCTCGTACCTTCGAACAGATAGTCATGTTCGGTTTCCCATACGTACTGGGCAACAGCGGAGCGTTGAACATTCCTGTCTTTGAGGTGGTGAATATGCTTACGCAGTCTTTCTGTACACTTCTGCCTCTTACGCCGATGTAGTTGCAACCACAGCTGCATGGTACGGCGTAAACTGCCGTTTGGAGAGGCGGAAGCTGGGTCTTATCTCGTACCAGATTCAGAGTTTCGGTGAACCCTGCAGACCATCTTTACTTGGAACCGACTTAGCAAGTTCCAGTCCTGTCTGAACCCGGATGTAAGGGTGTGCAACTGCCTTGGATTCGTGGTTTCTATGGATGCCAGCAAGTTGTGCGTAAGTAGAAACATCCTATTGATTGAATCCATTGGAAGCGAATGACTGCTTAAGTATTTTCAGCTCAGCAGGGAGGCTGGCCTAGTCGCCAATTCTGTCTACCCCGTGGCGGGTAGTGGTGCGAGTTTGCGCGGAGGTAGTGGTTTGTGTGGGTACAATTCGTGTAGCCCTAGTGTCTCAGGCTGACGTCCTCCCGTCTGCTCACCAAGACGTTGAGGAAAGACAATTAGTCATCCTTTTCCGCCTCCCTGAACGTAATCATGGGATGAGCGATGATGATGTGGTCTTTGAAAGAAGTCCTGAAGGGTGTCCTAATCGTGGAACCATATCACGAAACTGTCGTCCACATATCTTTCCTACTTGGTGGGTTTCAGACTGGTATTTGTGAGTGCTTTACTTTCGATCGCCTCTATGTAGTTGGCAGATATCGTTGAGAGAGGTGAACTTCTACAAGATGCATTAAAGCGGAACTGGAGGGTGGACGATATGTTGAAGTGGGCGAGGTTGGCTCATTCTATAGCGTCTCTAGTTGGATGCAGATGACTGCCATTGCCCAGCGGGTCCGTAAAGTACCTTCAAAAGTGACCAGTATGTCTCTGCTCTTTAACCGTCTGCCTCGAAGCCGATGACGGACTGGGCGCAAGCCAGCCGACGCAAATCATGCCAGAGGATGTAGTTTGTCGGACGTAGCCGTGGTAGCAGAAAAGTGGGTGAATGTACGGCGCTCACAATGGGGGCCAGAGGTACATCAATCAAATGGAACTTAGGTTGCCAGTACCGCCGTGAAATGGCGCTGCTGCCTCTTGAACCTGGGTGTACTTTCGGGTTCGATGACGGTGGAGTTGCTGATCCATGCTGCGACTTCTCCCTGAAGTTTCCGGAGTGCGTTGTGCTGGGGCCTTACTTTGTCGTAGAACCAATCTAGCTCTGGACGCGGTTCTTTTATAGATGATCAAATTTACAGTGATGAGAAGCCTATTGAGCCTCGCGTGGCTGCTTTTGGTCACGTACCGCGGTGCCACCCTCAACATTCCAGCAAGACGCAGATATGTGTCGTGGCTGGCCCGGAGACTTTCGGATGGCAATGGACTCTGCGCGAAAGATGGGTGTCGTCGGTGAAATTATTGCCCGATGAAACCGAGCCACCATTACATCACTGACCTTTGAACAATTGCCAGATATTCATATTTTCTTGTTGAGTGCATCCCAGTCAGATTGAAGGATTAGCCAGCGAGATGGGTGGGGATCGTTTAAAACAGGAATATCAATAAGGACCCTGAAGGGAAATGGTCACTCGCATTTAAATCGTCAGGTACAGTTCTCTAAGATGGTATACAGATAGCCTGCAGAGCGTCAGTTCGATGGACGAGAAAGTTTTTAAAGCCACTGAAAAGTGAGTATTATTTTCAGAAATCAGAAGAATTTGCTTTCCAGATTAATAATATTTTCAAGTACCTCCAGGGCATGGCCTCGTTCCACCCCAAGCAGGAAATTCGGCCACAAAAGTCACCAAAAATAAGAAAAGGATTGAGGAACTGGGAGATAAAACTTTCCAGTTGTTCCTCCAATACAGTTTCTGCAGAAGGAAAATACTACATAATGCATAGTGGAACTGATGTGCACATGTTCACCCGTACACACAGTCTGGAAGTTGGTTAGGATGATGTGTTCCTCGGAAATCAAGAATCACGGATACTGCAAAATCATAAGGAAGAAGCCCATCATTTTGGACAGTCCGTTAAGTAAGAAAACTGTGAAGAGCTAGGGGATCTTGGGGAAGATGTGTTTCCTTCACTCAGATAATAAATGGGTCATTGCAAGATTATTTACATTTGTTCTTCTGAAAGAGAAGAGTTTACATTCTATGAGAGCCATGGTTGACATTTAGATGAGTTTCTTCTTTTCTTTTTGGGTTTTGAAAAGTGCTTTGATCACTTGCAGGCAGTTCCTCGCCCACAGCAGATTCGGCCTGACTACTAGAAAGAGTGGGGCATTGAAGGGGAATCCTAATCCCTTGAAATGGGTCACTGAGATCTAGAAATAGGTTCTTTTCAAGTAAAAGCTCAAACCTTGTTTGGATGTTCCTACAATCATTGCAATTGGATAATGAAGACACACATTGGGTTCTTTTTTAAACTTTATTATGAAATTAAGTCATATATAAATAGTAAATAATTCACAAAAAGAAATTAAAAACATAATTCAGATAAAATAAAGACTAGAAAAATTAGAAATAGAATAGAACACACTATTAGTAAAATGTTCTCTTTCAAGGACACATACACATCATCCAAAAGTTTTCAGCAATGATGGCATTTAATACATAATGCAATTTAATGACATGGATGATATCGTGACATTCACCTTCTTCACATTTACAAATTCTCTTTTTTATCAATGCTATGAACAACCTGATTTTAAGAGGGATGCTACACTCTTTACATCGTATACAAGTACATTTTAATAATTTCTGTGTTCTCTTTTGATAAGTAGTCTTCCTGATGAGGTCAATTCCCACGTGAAAGTATAAACATCATTGTGGTGCCTCTTCTAATTGACTAGAATAAGTTACTTAAAAAGAAGAAAAACTCAAATTATAAAAAATATCACAGTGCAAGATATCTTGTCAGTGCCTTAGGACGGAATATGAATGTGCGTGTACAATCATCAACTACACATACTGTGCAGGTATTTTAATCATCTATCTTCTCTTTGTCACCAATTTGAAATTCATGTAATTGTGAACGAAGGGTTTTTATCTGCTCATTCTTTTTTGCTAACATTTTTTTCATGTTCGTATAGACAGCAGTTTCACTGAACTTTCTTTCCAATTCCTGTAAAAAAAAACCAACATGGATATTAGGCAATTATTCTTATTTTTTCATAATTTGGAATTAGCTTAAAACTGAAAACTTATATTGGAAGTGTTGTAAATAATTACACAGAAATTAAGAAACATGAATTGTAACAGCATATGACACAAATAGATTATAATGTTAAAATTTATTGCATGGGTAGAAGTTTTGAAAATTCACTCCTAACATTGCTCATTATACAGTATGTAAAATTCAATAGAGAAACAATATAAACGACTTACATATGTTATTTTTTGGAAAACAGCATTGTAAACTTACAAAAGAACTAAAGTTAATTTTTGTAGACAACTTTTTTGTATTTCAGCATTATAAACGACCTTTTTTGTTATAAGAAATTGTTAATAAATAGCTAATAAACTAAATGAATCGATAAAGAGGGGTATGATGTGAGTGGTATGTTCAAGAAAATGAGGGACAATAAAAGCAATTACACACCCTTCTATCCATATGTTACGTTCAATATTTCTTTGTTTCCATTTAAGAATAATTTTAATTTTGAGAAATTCAAGCACCTCTTTACCATTTGAGGCTTACATTTAATGATGTCACATTGCTTATGAAAAATTCCTATTTTAGGGGCTATGCATTGTGCATTTATGTTCACCATAGTGACATAGTGGGTAAAGAAAGTTTGCAAATGGAATATGTCAAACACGGATGATGTATCACAAGCTCAAGCCATGAAAACATTGCAACCCATGAAAAGTAAAGACCGGCACGGGAGAGAATACAACATGAAAAAATGTTGGAAAGTAAAAAAATATGAGTTAATCTGACTCAGAAGTTTTGCTGGCGTACTTTAGAAAGGGTAAAAACAACTAATGTTTATATATTTTACATTGGTAATAAGCTACCAAATGTTTTACTTTTCTATATTTTATTTTACAACAAAAACAGTTAAAACTGTGTGATGTGCTACGGGAAAAGGGTTGTGCATATTTTCATAGTTCTAGAATTCCTATCCAAAACCACATACAAGTTGAATTCAAAATACAGAAAGAAAATATTTGTGTGGGGCTGTGTATGATCATCTCACTTAAAGTTGGCGGGTGGGTTGAGTTGAGTGGTTGAGTGGCCGTGTTGTGTGCATGATATGAAAATAGACATGACCAGCGGAAAAGAGTTATGAATGAAATGGTATAAGTTAGTGGGGTGGGGGAGGTGTTGGTGGTGGTAGGGAAGCACTCGTATTGTAGCAAGCTAGAAATTAAATATGATTGAAACACGTGTGTTTTTTGTTGAAAGAATTTTACCTCCAAGACGTCCCCCTACACTTTAAAATATGTAATTTATTCATGATAAATATTTCACGTTTCATTAGTCAGCTAGTATCAAACCAACATTTACTTTACCAATTTTGTTTTATTCATCATAGGTACATAGTAGTATGATATGAAAATTATGTAGGTAGTAATCTGAAATGTACATTCGTGTTTCACGACCCTCTCGAAATACCTTATAGTGATTTACTTAAACGATTTTGATACTTTCCCTGAATTCTGATAGTAGTATTCTGGTAGTAGTGGAGTTATAATTGCACACATGCAATTAATACAGTGATAATAATCGATTTTCATGGAATTAATGAGTATTTTTAATTCACTGAACAAAACAATGCTCATGGCACAGATTATATCATATTGACCGTTTATTTATTATCATGAAAACTATCTAATAACAAAATTTAATCAAAAACGATGGAGTCATTTTTTTGAAAAATTTTGAGAATGCCCTACAGGCTTCAGGTGAAGTACCCCAGAAACATAAAATATCAGTTTCAAATTCAAGGGGCCGCAAGGACAGCTAGATCGATAGGGAATTATCAATTTTGAAGAAAATTGGCTGATCAGTTTAGCTGCTGGCGTTGTTCACAGACGGACAGATACGTTTTGTCGTCATTCGATTTATGGTTTCAAGGACACACAAAACAAGGATTCCATGGTACACCACGTGTAAGAGGATTTTTATTTCTGAATTTATCTACATTTTCGTTACCAGGGCCCTGTAATAAGAGTTTCTCTGCCGAAAATTCGCAGTTATTTCGCGCAGCAATACATAACTTTCACACCACTCGCGCAAAAAAACCAGTAAATACAATATACAGCACCTCAACTATATCACACATCCACCAGAGTTTAAAAAACATGTAAATATTGCACGTAACTGAGGATGGGACTGCCTTTCCTATGACCATACTTCTCTGTACTCTCAACTATGACCATACTTCGATGTAGCAGCAGGGGCTGGCTAGGGAGGGAAATGGAATCGCCGCAGAACACAGCGAAAGCTTTTCGCAAGTTACACATGCACCAGCAATGGGTTAAATATTCTCACAAGGAATGGGGGGCTGCAGCCCTGCAAGCTCGCCCTCACCAGCCGTCATAGAACTGAACCCAACCCAACTGATCATGTTCAGCTACAAAACATTTAGTGTAAATTAAATGTATATTCATTAAATTAATTGTACACACATACACACTCTCTCTTTCCCTCTCCCTCACACACACACCTCTGACAACCTCTATGTCCTCGCCATAACAGTCCTTTCCCTCCAAAACATCCTTTGGCGTCCTTTGATCAGGGCTCCACCTATCGGCTAACACTATTTGCACCTAACCCTAAACTACACGTATCTTAAAGCTACTATTTACTACAGGCTCTCCTCACTTCCACATCATTAAATCCTCTCACTGTCATTCGTATATCTTAAATACTACAATCTTTCAAGATTTAAGCGTAAGCAATAGATTAACTATGAAAGAAATAAGCCTTTTAACCCCCCTAAAACACTATAAAATTATGAAAATACCTGTTCAGCTAATTGTAGCTGGGACTGTGCTTCTTTCACAAGCTGCTTGGCATTCTCCAACTCAAGCTGCAACTGCTCATGTTCAGCAAGAGCCTCTTGTTTATCAATATCTAACCGATGTTTTGTTTCAGCTAATTCACTCTGCATCTGCAATGAAAATATAGTACTGAAGTTGTGGAACAAATAGTATTTATTTGTTGTGCAGCTCTATTGTTAAGTATACGTGTTGTGGTAAGAGATCTTTGGCATTTTTAAAATAATTAAAGAGGTTGTCATTGCCAACAATATAATTTATTTTTTTAATTCAATAGCTAGTTCAATAGCTAGTTAATTCAATAGGTAGTCGTTTTGTTGGCTTCACTAGCAGAAACTGATTGATGATGGCTAGCCATTCGAAAGCTGCTTATTGAATTAAAAAAATATTGTTGGCAATTGACAACATTTGTAATTACCCTTATTTTTAATTTAGGACGACCACCAATAAGTGCAAAGATGTTTTCACATATGAGATTTAATTCTCTACGATGTCTTGGCTACTTTTGTCTCCCCATCATACAACTAAAAATTTAATTAAAATTTGCATGAAGCAAAATGAATTACACCAAATGACCAAAATCACAAATAAATTTATACTGCTGCGAATTCAAAGAAAACCTCACCTTTTAAACAGAAAAACAAACTATATATACAAAAACTATAACAATATCTACAATGATAGAGAAACATATCTGAATATTACAGGTAATAGTGGAGAGTGCTCACTAGCCACTCACCAGTTGAACGTTTAAATTGAATGTGAATGGGAGGACAACAAGAAATCAGGAGATAGTTGAAGGATGCATTCAGAAAGTTGATCCAATGTTAAAAAAGGTGAAAATATGTTAGTATGTAGCAAATTTTTTGTAAAAACTGATTGGATTCATAACTGTATTCATAGTATTCTGCAAGTTTATAATTCATATCTTCTAGTTATTAATCTTTTATTCCTGTTATGCGTTCTACCGCTAAAATACGAAACTGATCACAAAAATTTATTGAATGATTTAGATTATTCTATGTTGGTATATTGATTTTGTCTATTTGTGACTTTTTTTTCTATGCCTCATTATCTCTGTTTGATTCTTCTCTTTGTTTGGCAAATATTGAACGAGGAAGAATGTAATGGAAAAATTGATTCATTGGTGCTGGCATTAAATTTTAAAATCATATAAGATCTCATCACAAAAACTTTGATATTTTTGGTCTTGCTTTTTTCGACTTAAAATGATTGTTGTGATAGTTAACTTTGGGCACTATGTCTGTTCCAGTTGACTTATCAAGGATATTTCCTTTCTTCTCTATTCACAAATTCTAAATTCCACTTCAACCGATAAGTTTGAGGAATGGACTCATCCGGCAGCTCTGAACTGTCGACCCTCAGCGGCCACGCTGAATAATTGTGTGAATAAGTGTTCTATACAGCCGCAGAAGACAAATCAAATCTGCTCCGCACTTAGCCGGCGGAGAAAGATCTGAGAAACGCATCTGGTCTGCAACCTACGGATATAGTTACGCCACGTCAGGTATCTGTCGAAACCAAAGGGAAGCTGCTGACCGCCTAGGAGAGCTCCTGGTTGTTATGGAAATGGTAATTTCATCAGAAGAGCATGCAACACGCTTTGGTCATTGAAAAATTATAACCAGTAGACTCGCACCACTAATGCGTTTTTCGGTGCTGTCTTTCGGGGATGTTCAGGCTTCTGGACAAACAGACTAAAGGGAAATCGTCCACAGGAGCGACGGTCTATCTGGTTCACATACAATAGTTAATGTCGATGGCACAGTGACACGTTTAACCCCTGATTAACACAGTTTCCCAAGAAGTTACTTCTGGATATCTTGTCGCCAGTGGCTGTTGCTCCTTAATGTCTCTAGGGCGGCGCCCTCTCCAGAAAAAAAACTCAAGAAAAGTTGCAAAACTTGCAATAAATCGACTTGTTTAATTTGTGCGTCTACCGGCGTAATTTTTTAGTACAAACTTAGTTTTAAGTGCCCGATTACGTGAAAGATAAATGTGGAGTAGCATCGTGGACTATCGGGAGTCCGACCGTAGCTGGAGCATGCGAGGCAACGGAAGCCTGAGGAAGAGAGGGGGCGCTGAGAGTTGGGTGAAGACAACGTGCTCCTAGTAGGGTTTCGTTCGGCAGAGTACGCGGCTATTAATTAAGCTAAGAATACCGACCCTTTCATTGGATTTCATAAATTAGTTTTGTGTGCTGGAAATATTTTTTAAAATATCTATTTTCGCGTAAGCACAATCGTCCGCTAACAAAGTAAGTTGTCTTAGAAAAGGATTAAAATCCCGATAGTGCAAATCGATTGTACTCTCTATGAAATAGTTTTCCTCGTTCAACACATATTTTGAAGAGGTGAAATAATGTATGTGATAGTTCGGAATACACGCCACCCATCCTAATTCGCAACCCACGGGCTGACACTACTTGTCACCACCAGTACGAAAATATCTAATGGACAAAAATCTCCTGAGCATGGGGAGCCGCTCGCTAAATTCCCACGGATGTAATATACGCATTATGACATGACTCCAGATAGTGTCATAGCCCATTTGTATGTCGAAGATTACTAAATGTCTCAACGCAAAAGAGGTGATCTGAGGTGCTAATGCCACTAAGTGATTCAAGATTGCTCTTTTTTTTCTGAATCCACGTTGAATTGGAGTTGGCAATTTCCTCGAGTCTAGGGGCCAGATCTGCAGGTGGTTTACCATACGTTTAAAGTGCAAACCCTCAGAGGGATTGGAATGATTGTCTCTTCTCGTTATATTTTTAAATGGAGTGTTTGTACCAGATTCGTTTGAAAATATTAACCTTTTCTTTTGCCGTGGACGTGCCGCAAGACAGTCACGCGGTGTGCGCAATACGTATGGCCAGCTGCGCCGGTCCGTGTTTGGGCTCGCGAGTCTGGCAGAGCCAGGTTTTTGATAGCCTCGGCAACTTCGAGATTTCGGAGAAAATTCGATGATAACGCAGACGAGGGCACTTGGAACTCAACTTTAAAGGCAAGAACCAACAGTCGAAATAAATATGAGCTACATAAGACCTACCAGGTCTACAAAGACTCCAGCGTTTCGCAGGGTTGAAACGAAAACAGCGATAACACCATATATTTGTCTTTGTGAGACAGTCCTGGAGAGAATTCCCAATTCTCCTTGAAGCGCCTTCTAGCAATGTATTGAAACCTTTATCCATTAATTGTATGAATTTTACGATTATCACGATACATTTAGCTGAGAATACAGTCATTTCAGGGTCGATGCGTTATCTTGTGTTCGAGGCTTCACAATCGAAAGTTTGGGAAATTAAAAAAAAACATCTTCATCCTTACAAACAATGTAAGCAAACTCCTTTTTCCTTACATACATAAATACATTGCGCTGTTACTGTTTTTCATTATTCTTTACTGAAGTTAAAAAATTTAACTAAAGAAATAAAAGAATACAAAATAATATTAATAACAGCAAGAATGTGCGTTAGAGTGTGTAATTCCACAAGTTCAACAACGTAATGCTGAAAATAACACACTAAACTAAAGTAAGTGTATGAAAGTAATACAACATAGTGCGAAACAAATTTATTTCCGCCACTAATAGTATATCTAAATTCTGCTTTGTCATATACCCGCTAGCATTTATGAGTTACCTTTAAAGAAAACATTTAAATACCCTAAAGAAATTGATTTTTGCTCCTGGATTCATGTTATTGAGTATGCATTACTGCTATCACCAATATTGGTAACAGTTTGAACTCATCTACCTCAATTTCACAATAATGCTAATGTTTTCAACATTTTCAATTCTTTATCTTTCTGGAATGAAAAATTGCAGACATAATTGTTAACAATAATTACAATCAAAGACCTTCGCAAACACCCAATACTTAAGAAACGTAAATGCCTCCCATGTGTTTCACAAGCCACTAAAGTTATCTGGATTTGCTTTCTTATAAAACCAGGGAGTCACCCATTATTCTTTGAAGCTTAGAACGGCGCGGTGCAATCCTCATAAATTCTGGCGTCGTAGTCGATTCCAGTTTGCGAATACGAAAATAGCATTACAGACCTGACATAGTCGCCATTGTCTGTCGCAGACCTCGGTGCGCGGAAGGTTCGTCCCAACGGGAGTGATGACGGGGCAGCGCTGGCCTGGCCTAGCCTCCATGACTCGTATCCCGGCTCGCAAGCCTCTATTTGGGCATGTGCCACGGAAAACGCTCTGGAGCACGGCCAACATCCAAGCCACTCGCCTCACTCAAAACCTTCAACTACCCCGGCCTCCTTCAAGCATCTGCCCGGTTATCACAACCTGCGCATCTCCACCCCTTCTCTACACTAACCCGGAGGGGGGATACCCCGCTTGGGCGTCATTTCTACGTCACGAGGAGACACCCGAGACTGTTTATCACGCTCAGAGTAGTCACAGTAGACAAACTTTTGAGACTAAATTCGGTCATTCGGGCACTGAACCACACAACAAGCATTCGTATTGTAGCGAAACCCACACACCGACCTTTACGTATCATAAAAGTCACTTAACAGAACCACATATAGATACCACTAAAATCTCAGTAATCAAATGGCCCTCGGGAAATGCATTATATAAAGAGAATGGTGTCTCGTGTTTACACTCCAGAGGCGCCCAGCAAGAGCCCAACTGCGGATGCTAACATATCCAAAGGCCTTCAGACACGCAAATGTTCTGCGTATCAACACGTCCACAGCAGTGAACAGGTTAAGAAGAATTTATCTTGTTCTGGAATGTGTTTCAACATCACGTAATGTACTTGTTTTGGTCCAGAAGAGGAATTTTTGAAAGTGATATGGCGGGGGCAAGCAAGGGTAGAGAGAAAATGGCTTTGTAGGTTTCTTTATCACCTGAAAAAGACATCACCTATCAAGGGCAGTGTTCGCCATTCCTTTTGCAGTAAGGGTCGCTTGCACAGAAGCTTCCGGAGCAGACTAGGTCGAAGATTTTGATTTTTTTTTCTTTTTCTTTTTTTTTTGGCTCTCGGTTTTTGCCATTGATTGAGTAGCACCGTCTTTTTGGATGTTTACTACTATCCTACTGTCTTGGGAAGATTTAGAACATTAGAAAAGGTCTTCGACATATCCAGGGGAAGTAAAGCTGACAGTCGTATATTGTAGATGCAGTGCATATAAAAGGATAAAAGAAGCCTCTGAGCAAAATTCAAATCACTCGAGTGTTATCTCCTTCCTCTGCCAGACAGTGAAAAGAAAATAGCGGAATTTGCGTGGTCAGCCAGAAGAGTAGGTCGGATGACCTGAGCCTCCTGAAGGAAAATGAAGCACAGTTCAATTGAATCTGGAGGGTGTTTTACATATTTCCTTTTCCGAAAGGAAACCTTGCCATTATGAAATGCAGGGTCGCGCCGTAGGGGGTTAGCCCCTTACTTCTCTGAAGATGAAGGAGCTTGCTTTCACTGTGACGAGCCAACGTTACGTTATGTCAACCCGCTGGGGTCATGTTTGGCACCAAGGCTACATTCTGGTCTAAACTTTGGCATTCAGCACACCTGCTTTTAACAGGACGGAACCACCTCATACTGCCCGATCGTCTATGGCAGCAGTGCGAAATTTGTTTGGGGATCGTATTATTTCAAGAAATGTAAGCATGGAATTTTAAGTTAGTGACTACTTTTTATGAGGACATCAGAAGAGCGTTGTAGAGAGACCAGACTAGACCAATAAACCTTACCCAGCTAGACTCAGATTGAAGAAAACATTGCCAACATCCTGGAGAAAATATTGTGCCGGGCTGTGTCAAATCTTGCGAATCAACTAACTAAATGTGTACGACGAAATATAACAGCACTTATGTGACGCGACGGATACTCTTGAAAAGTTTCCATGAAATATGCAGCTGCATTTACAAATACCTAAACGAATGTCATGCATTTTATTGTGACAAATGTGTAGAACAACACCAACGTTGACTATAATGCTGTTGTACTCTCCCCAACTCCAAATTCCACTGTCCTTAGCCTTCTGCACTGTTAGCCTTCTTTGTCACCAAGATGTTTCTATTACAGTCGTTATGCACAGCCAGGGAATTCCACACATGATAGGGAATTCCTAGACATGACACAGAATTCAGAAAATTCTCCTCAAGGAAATGAAAAAGGTTACACAAAGTTGCTGGTTCAAAGGTTCACGACTCATACCATTGCTGTTTCCATGATTTAGAGGGAACCAACGGATCACCCAACAGATTGTCTGACAAAAGTAGCTGGAATCGCCTCAAAAAAGAAGAAAACTGTAATATCCCAATTTACCATCTGATATAAAACCTATGACACAGAGAAGAATTGCTGGTACCCCAACCTTCTGAGGTGACAGTGAGTGAAGATGACTGCTGCAGTGATGAACGTTCAGAAGACAGAGGTGATATCCATGTTAATCCACCATTTGTAGCCTTCAGTGAACCAAATGTCCCAAGGGGATCTCAATCTTGTTCGTTATTTAAATTTGTCAAAGCAACACTCTGCGACTAAAAGAATGGTATCTTCTTTCCGTCTGCAAGAAAGTGAGTGTTTTTTTGTAATCACGTAGTTTTTCAAAAATTTCTCCAAGAAAAATGTCGAAGCTTTCTCAAATGATATCAAATGACATCTTTCTCAAATGAAAGATCGCGCGCGGTCCGTGGCCCGTTTGTTAGGGTACTGCTCCGGCATTCGCCTGGTGTTCATCGGAGAAAACACGGAAAGTTACCGATCAGAGCAGCAGGCCGAGAGTCCTCCAGACAGCGACAGAACACGTCCTAGCTATTTAGTTGGTATCGAAATCTTACTGGCACCGTTGGAACTTCAAACTCCGGAACCTCCCGTCTAGTGGCACTGCAGTGACATCAGTTGATGCCCTGAGCCACCTGTCGGTACCAGAATGAAAAGAGATAATGAATGCCTGAATGAAAGGGTTCTAGTAGGCAGGATGGCGCTAGGTTATTTTGCGCCTCAGGCAAAATTAGATGTTTGCCCCCCCCCCCCAAAATAATGTTTAGAAAAATGTTTTCTAGAAGTTTCTAACTTTTCTGTTTTCTTTCTTCTTTAAATTAATAACTTTCACATAAAATAGAACAATAAGATTTATTATAAAAGTGTACCAAATTTGCGCCCCCCTGAGGTTTGCGCACTAGGCGGTCGCCTAGTTTGCCTATACGTAGCGCCGGCTCTGCTAGTAGGCCCCAAATAATCTTATACTTAGGTTTTTGTAACGGGGCGCGTCATTAGCTGTCTTTGCGATGGAATATCTCAAGGCATTTCGCGTCTTTCTTGGTCGGCGCCGCTATATGTTGCATGATCGCGACCGTATAAAGCAGTGTGATGTGTCTAGCGGCATATAGCTGCACGACCGAGTAGACACGAAATGATGTGGAATCAACATCGTGAAGACAACTCCTGACGCGCCACGTTACAAATCCCGAAGTAGTACATCACTTGTTCCAATCATTCGGCTAGCTAAAAATATTGAACTTCCTTACAAAGAAGCTGAGACGGACATTGCCAATTTTTATGACAAAAAGTTTCCAACTATCCATTGATAAAAAATAGTTAATGAAGCTAGAAATAAAGACATGAGAGAGAAAACACGTTATTCTTGCTATAGAATTTTATAACAAGCTACTCTTACAAACTTACTATAAATGTATGCAAAAGGCCAAATGGTAGATTGGAATCCTCACCTTTCAATTTCGATTATGAAATTTTATATCTGAAGAACATGGATCTTCTGTCTGTATGTGAAGACAAAGTAAAGCCACAAAAAATACTGTGGAGTTTACTATTTTAAAAAGGAAAACCCACTTTTTAGCCCTGGATATCAGTAGGTAATTCAGAACTATCACAATGGATTGACACAACTTGTAAAACACTCGTTGTGTTTAGCCCCGCTGTTTCATTTTTGACACTATTACTTTGTACTAAGATTGTGTCTCAATTTCAGTATTTAATTTTGTAGATGCTGCTAACCTACTAATCTGGACCAGGCATCCATCAACACACTATGAATATTTTCACTGCGGGTGATAAACAAAATGTTTTTCATAACTGTGTAAAATTTATACATGATATACTGTAACTATCATTCAAAACTTAAAATACAATTGTGATCTTGACTTCTAATACCAATTTATCTTGTAAGAATTATCTCAGAAAACTTGCCAATTTGCTAGTTTAAGAAACCAATAATTCAAATTGGTGAAAATAATGTCACTGAAAAGAAAAATTCTATAATGACCTAAATCACTATAAAATATGCTACTTACATTGTACCTACATCATACATTTCAAATTCAAGTAACATTAACTGGATTTTTCAAACAAAACATTGAACTTTAAAATGGCAGTAAAAAAATATAAATCCCAGTTGTCATGTTTTAGAAATGTGCCATTGAATTGCTCTATTTAAGAGTAAGAAGTCAAGAGCATAGTAGTCAAATCAGTTCTTTAATCATTAATGATATTACTTCTCACATTATATAAGAAACTAAAATATTTTGTTATGATCATCTGTAGAGAGAAGTTTTTCTATGTCCTAAAAAGCCTTGAAATAAGCTTTTAAAAATATGCATTTAGGACCTAAAAATTCAGAAATATGCACTTTTGTATGTAATTAAAATTATCAATATTTCATTTCCTCTACAAACCTTTCTTGTTAAAATTCAGGAGTAGCATGCTTGGAATGAAAAGATATATTTTTGTGGAAACATACTACAATCTATGCTCCTTTACAACAGAAATAATTGAAGTAAATTTTCACCGAAGTGAAGTATATTGTATGCCTTCTGACTGGTTTAAAAAATATATTATCAAAAAATATTGTACATTCGCACAAGTATTTAATCTATAGAAAACAATATACAAAATATGCATCTATAATTACATGAATATGTACCATTAGGATAACTCAGCCAAATATGCACTAATATTTTAATCTATATAGCATCATAGTCTAACCAAAGTCAAAAAATTTCACTTATCTATGCACTGAAGCAACAGTTAAAAATATGCAAAATCATAGAAATCTGCTCCCTAACAATCAGAAATGGAAATCCTACAAATTAAAATTATATAATAGAAAATGTTACTTTCCCACATTTCTACACCTTTTTAGGAGTAAAGTTTACCTCATTTAATTGGGAAGGTTGGGGACAATCTTTCACTTGCTTCTGTAGATCTCCGATTTGGTTTAAAGCTCTAGTCAAATTGTTTTTAAGTTGATCCATTTGTTCCTGGGAGCTCACCATCTAAACAGATATGTAAATATAAGAACAGTAGCACTTCAATTCTTAAATAAACAAGTATTGAAAACATTATTTTAAAAAATCAACCTTATCTTCTGCAACTGTCAAGGAAGTTTTTAATTTCTCATTTTCACTTTTCAGACGTTCTATTTCCAAATTTAAAAGAGGCATTGATCCATGAACATCACTCAAAGGCTGCAGCCTGACTTTAGTAGGTGATTGTGGAGTTTTATCAGGAAAAATACCCAGTATTTCATGACGTTCAAGGGTTTTAATACTTTCAAGCATTTCCCTGAAATTATAAATATTAATTTTGGACAGCATTCACTATTTATTCAACATACTTCTTGTAAATACAATTCTTATTGACATTACTCTCATAAACAATGCAGCAGTTTATATGGACTTCATTTTACGTCCAGATAAAAAACTGCAAATTTTCCTGGCTAATAATAAACTAGGAAAGCGTCAACCTAATGTAACAGCAGAACTCATCCGATGATTTTATCAATTATTACAATCAATCTGTTAATGATATAATTTCATCAATACCTAACAATATTGATAAAACTATGGAATTCTGCAGAAAAGGTAAGCAAATAGAAGATGGTACTAATTTCTATTGACAGTCCATTGGTAGTAAACATAATAAAAGCAACCAAAGAATTATATCTCATAACTGTGGCACATATGTTTCCCCATGATATTTAATAAAACAAATTATTAATGCAATCTTTTAATCTTTGACCATTTTATTGAGCCACTCATGCTCAACATCTGTATTTTTCAAACATGTCTAAAATAATCTTAAGTGATTTCCTTTCTATAAAAAGGGGGACCGGAAGGTACTAAGTAACTACCAACTTATCTTAATAGTAACAGTAATCTCTAAAATTTTTGAATCCATTTTATACAAACAACTTATGTCGTATTTTGATAATTATTTTTTAGTCTTACTGGTACATTTGGTTTTAGATGTAGCAAATCAACCACTACAGCAATGGAGTATCTGATCAAGTACATCACTGATTCATTTGAAGCCAAATTTTATTCATCTCTCATGCCCTAACAAAACCTTTTGACTGTGTCGTATCTGAGGTGCTCATACAAAAAATTGAAAACCATGACATTTGTGAAAATAAAATTTGACTTCTTGAGTCTTACATATCACAAAGAATACAATCTGCGACTACAGGCAACAAGAAGTAGGCAATTTTTTGGGGACAAATTCATGCTTAATTCATGTTTGAACATTTTTTCAATTAATACTGCACATTTAGACTTCTATCTAGCATATTAAGTTATTTTAAAATTATTTTCATAGACAATATATTTACATTAAAACAACTTATGGAAAAGAGAACAAGGAGAGGTAGGGAAGTTCATCTGGGTTTCATTGATCTTCAGAAGGTGTATGACAATGTACCGGTTGCTAGAGTATGGGAAGAAATGGATGGACTTAAAATCAGAGAAAACTTAATTGGAGCCACACATAATTTATATAAGAACAACACCTCTCAGATTAAGATCTACAGCAGGCTCTCAGATCAATTCTGTCAGTAAAGGTCTTCGTCGGGGTTGCTGTCTTTCCCCAACACTGTTTAAAATATATCTGCATCATATTTTACAGCAGTGGGAGAAATAATGCAGAGTAATGGGAATGATGATGGGAATGAGAGGATAAATTGTTTACATTATATTTTACTGATGACCAGGTAGTAATTGCAGAAGATGCGGATGATTTGAGTTTCATGATCCGTAAACTCAATGAACACTTTTTAAAAGCAGGACTTAATATTAATATGGAGAAATCTGAATACCTGGCAGTTGGTAAAAATGAAATAGAAGATGATCTTGTGGAAAATGGACGAAAAATGAAAGGGGTAAACAAATATAAATACCTTGGTGTACTTTTTAATAATAATGGAAATAGCCAAGACTAAATTGAGAGACGAATAAGCTTGGGGAAAAAGTGACCAGAGTTAATAATCTGTTTAATGGAAGCACCATCGTAATGTTACTAAAGAGTCTTTTCTGTAGTTAAGAGTGTACAAATACGGTTTTCAGAAGTTTGGGGATGGATAAAAGACAGAAAGGGAAGCTGTGGCTGAAATGGATTTGGCATAGAAGTTTGTCAAGAGACGTGACGAATTCAGGAAAGCGACATAAGAAGAATGATGTAAAGAAATATCTTGAAAAAGTAAGAAAATAACATAATGTCGGTTGGTTATTATGGAATGACAGTCGAAGATGGCAAAACGAGTCTGAAAGGGTGGGACAAAGATCAGATAGAGAGAAACCCAGATTGCATCGCAGGGAGTGCAAGAGGCTATGATGGCAAGAGAAATGCAAAATGATCTAGGGTACAATAGAGAGGCATGGTCACTGAGGGCGGAGAAATAGCGACAGCTGTAGAGCAACTCCGTACTATACATAAAATTATTTTTTGCACAATTGGTAAATATTAAAATTGACACATATTTTGAATAAATAGTGAATTTTTCTTAGATCCTGGCAGTACAAGTTGTCTTTGCTTGTTATTATAACAATTTTAACCCTATGTGCTAAATTTGTGAAGCATGACCCCCTGTGAGCAAGCAAAATGAATCAACATCACAAACGAGAGTGAAGATAACAAGACAGGAAGCAGTAGCTCAATATTACTTGATAACTGACAATAATTGGAAAAAAAATGAGGAGTAGACTACGCCTGCTTGTGTGCAAGGAAAATACAAATAAAGTTTTCTAAAAACCCATGTCCGGAAAAAAATAAAATAAAATTTTATATAATTGCTTACAGAAATTAGAAATAGCACATTTACTTCTAATGGAGTCTTTAAAAATTGTTGAAGACATTAAAATCTCTTTGGAATTAGTGTTTGGAGAAGTGAGTGTGACTGTTAAGGAGAAACTATATATAGTGTAAAATTCAAATCCTGATTTGAAATTTCTACAAATTTAAAATACATTATTTGTGTTGAAAATAAGAAAATGCAGAATATGATCTCATAGTCTCAGATTTCATCTTTGAAGTATGCTCCAATAACTTTTTGTGAAGTAGAAAGTGTTTTCAGCATTCAAAAATATTTGTTTCTGATTGAATAAAATTTAGAAAAATTGTTATCTGTTACAAAACACAATAAAACAAAAAATATACCAAACTGAAATTTTATTGTCAATCATTTTACGCAGTTTAGTCAATTACCCTGCGTGGTACATTTAGCTATTTTATAGTACATGATTGCATGCATATTTTAGAATTGGACAGTGCATGGAAATCCTGTCTCTAGTTTGGAAAAATGATCTAACTTGCAACCTACTAGCCACCCTAATACTCGCTGATGATATTGTGTGCCAAGAATGTCTCTCTCACTGAGACGAGTCAGACTCCTATTATAAATTGAATTTTATGTTGGTAGCAACCAGATAACTTGGAAACAAGTGAAAAGGACAATACTTCCAGGAACTCTAATGATTGTGGTAAATGCACAATTTACTTTTTCTTTTGTTACAATCTACATCTTGTGATACCAACATAATTTCTATTGCTAGCACTCTCACCACCAAGGTACTATTGCAGAGAGACTTTCCTAGCACACAATACTACACTGAGAGTTCAACATAACAATACAGAACTAGAAATTTCATCAACTGAAAGCCTACAGGTGTTGCACAATAGTGGATTTTGGTCTTTTCTGCTAAATTATGCAAAAACTTAAATAGTAAATTTTGGTCTTCAAGAAATAACCAACAAAAGTCAACAGGTCACTTTATTGAGATTTTCACTTGATCCAAAGCACTCTCCAGTATTCCGTGTCGGCATAGTTTGTACTAAATTATTCAGTCAATTACTTTTCATGAAAAAGAGTTCCTGGGTACCTTTAAATTTTCTAAAAATCATGTATTGCACTGTTCCCAAGTCACAGATGTACTAATCCATAGAATGTAGGACAGGAATTTAAAAAATTAGAAATGACAAAATAGCCCTATTCATGTTGATACTAAAATACAAAAATGATGAATCATTTCATTTTTGACAAAAAAATGCGAATATTTGCTTCTGTTATTCTGCCTCTTCTCACACTGCATACACTGATTGAATTCTCTTACTCAGTGTGTTACTACTTCTGGGAGAATTGATGTCATAACCACAAGGCTCCAAGGAAGAGGCCACCCACCCACCAAATATTTGGTATTCACACGATACAATACGAAAGGAGCACCTTTTTTCTATATTTTTGGTATTTCAAGAATTGTTGTAGACTATAGTAAAATATTGCAATGTTCTTGAATACTTTTTGTAAAAATATTTAATTTACATGTGTTATAAGAGATTATTTTATTTGTTGTTTTTGAGCAGTGGGTGTGCAATTTTTTGGAAAATCATTGTGCATGTATTTGTTCAGCAGCATTTTGGCTGCTGCAACTACTAAAAATTCATTACACTCTGTGTTGTTCTTGAATTAAAACCTAAAGATACCAAGTATCTACTTTTCTGTTATTGTGAAAATTGTGAGTGGGTTTGCAAAACTGTTATCGTGTGTCAGTTCTTCACACTAGTGAACATTTTATTTTGCTGATATTCCATTCTTAATGTACATCACTTTCTATTATAGAAAATTCTGAGAATAGTAATAATTATATCTAATAAGTAAAGAAAACAGAGTTGCATTCAGACTGCAACCGGAAAATGTGTTGGAATATCATATTCCACAAATTATAGGTCCAGAGATTAGGGCATGCTATTGTACAGGAAGCCTATCTGAACCAATATGTGAAATTTTTTTCAGAATTTGGATGATAAAAATATAGAATGCTATGAGGATAAGAAAGTATGTTGTTACAAATGCTGAAATATTTGCCAGCTGTGCTATACAGACACTTAAAAATAATAATCTGAATTTTGTACCAGCAAATGAAGTTAAAAGAGGCAAATGTTTGATGAACGATGGGGAAAGAAGTGAAGACCATTCCACACATTCGTAATCTTCATTTTTTTACGCACTCTCAAAATATATTTGGAAGTTGCAGTAAGAGAATTCTGAACAATTGCGAAGGTGACTACTGAAACTTAAATTTACTCAAAAAACAAGGAAACTATTCAAGTGTCATTGCAATGAGGAAATTCAAATTAAAGTACAAGAATTATGACTGACGATATTGTGAACATTTTTCTGGGAATAAAATGTAAAAGAAAGAGATATTCAGAGATCAGGGACGAAATATGTATGATGATTTAGTAGAACTACAATTCTTACAGAAACAGAGAGAAGTTTGGATTTATTCACAGGAATTTTTCTGCGAAATGTGACCAGAAATAGCAAGTAAATTACCACAACAGAGAAGTCTGAATAAAAGGCAGCATATGATATTC